TATTTGTTATTATTATTATATATTTATTTATATATATATTTTTTCAGTCATAGAATAAAACTATGATTGTGTAAAAATAAGGAAATAATATCAATAATGTGTTATTAGATTGATTAAATTGATATATGATGGATTTCAAATGGGTTCGTTTCAAAAAAAATTTCATAGAGTAATAAAAAACTCTGCCGCCATTATTGAGTATGCCGCCATACTCGAGTAAATCATTGTGATGTCCCAATTGAAAATTTATTAAATTTTTTTTTTGATTGTCGATATAATTTCGGGATTATTAACTCTGGAATAGAAAATAATTAAAGATTTTATGTAAGTAAAAATAATTTAAATAAAATAATAACTCATAATCGAAAAGATAAATAAATATTATTGAACCAAAAAATTTATCGATTGATTGATTTATTGATTGGGAAAGTGCGAATGTATTTATTATTATTATTATTATTATTATTATTAATATAATCAAGTCTTTTATGTATTTATGTATATATATTTTTTCTTTTTACATGTGTTCAAATCCACGTTTGTATCGTAGTTTGAACATTATCCTGACGTCAGGAATTATCTCTCATCAATGGATCTTCGGTTTCGTTAATTTTAAATTTTTTATTACGATTTTGTTGTCCTTTATTTGATATTTTATTCTTTGCTGTTGATTGAAGAGGAATGTGTACCGTACCTGAAAGAAATTATGTTATGTATGTATAAATAAAATAAATTTTTTAATAACTGGTCTGTACAAATTAGTTTTTAATAAGATCATAAAATTTGAATTTAAAAATGCCAAGGAAAAGAAGAAGGAAAAATTTTAACAATTTTTGTAAAAGTTTAAAAAAAAAAGAATTTGTTAATTGAAAATGTCTGTAACTTTTTTATTAAAATTTTATTATTTAAAATTAAATTTATATATTGTGTAAAATGGTTAAAACGTTTATATTAAGATAAAAAGTTTAATTATTAAAAAAAAAAAATTTTCTTTTTTAAAGGGAGTCATGATAACTATTAGCATTTCATCACAGATTCATTTTTATAAAAAAAAATTAAATTATGTCACAAAAGGAAGAAAGAAGAAGAAGAAAGAAGAAAAAATGAAGAATGGAGATGAACAAAAAAAAGAAAAAAAAATGAGGATAGGAGGAAACACGGATCAAAAAATTTGCAAAATTAAACTTAAGGAAATGCTAAGAGTTTTAAGAAAAGGTAAAATATGATGATGATGATGATGAATAGGAAACTACTTAAATATAATTTTAAAAAAGTTTTAAAAGGGTTAAATCAGAGAGAAAGAGAGAGAGAGAGAGAGAAAACCAAAAGAACAAAGAAGAAAAAAAAATGAATGAAAAAAGTTGAAAAAAAAGTGGAAAGAGATTAAACTATAAAAAAAAAAAAAAAATCTTGCTAAATTTAGTTATATTATTATTATTATTATTATTATTATTGTAAAAATTCACTTTTAAATTATGTAACAGGAAAATTTATTTTATAAAAAAAAAAAAAAAAGGAATCGATTTAATCGATTTTTTTAGTAAAAAAAAAATAAATAATAATAATTTTTAACTTCATGATCGCATTTCTTATCGTCATCATCGTTTCATTTATTTATGGGCGTTTTTTAACGTCTGCTACAGATTAATAAATTATTATTATTATTATTTATTGTACTGACTATTAATTATTTTCAATTCGGTAAAACAATGGAATAAATTTTAAATCCGTTGGTTGGCAAATTCGAAAATTAAACAAAAAAAAAAATTAAATCCTCTATTTAAATATTTTGTTTTTAAAATTTTAGCTACGGTATAATAATAATAATAATAATAATAGTAATAATCATCTATTCCAGGGATTTCCTTGGTCCTGCCGAATAAGATGGTGTCAGGAAAATTTAGAAGAATTATTATGATGTCATAGGTTATAACAAAAGGAAATCTATTAAAGCTCGTAGCATCGCTGATATTCCTTAGGGATAGGCGGGTAGAGAAACCTGGAATAAATGTTTAAAACAATCCGACGAACATTAATCGTCATGAGTACGAGTACGAAATAATAATAATAATAATAATAATAATAAAACACCCGTCCGTCGGATGAAAAATAACGATTTATAAATTGTTTAGGTAATTTCAATTGTTATAATTTAAAAAATCGATATCAAATTATATAGTTTTTATAATTTAATATTGTTTATGCTTATAAAATTATTATTATTATTATTTTTAAATGTTTCAGTATGATATTATACGCGCCAAAGTTTTCGGAAAACCTTAATGTGATTTGATGATAAAAGAAAATTTTATTGAAAGTTTTTTTTTTAGAAGATATTTCATTGAATTTGTTAACAACGGGTAAATATTTCATTTTAAAAGAAAAGTTGAGGTTACGAAGTAATGCAAGAAAATTATTTTTCTTTTTTTTTTTTTTTTTTTAGGAAAATTTCACAAGCAATTTAAACAATCGAATTTTATGTTTTCTTTTACTAATTAAAACTAAATACTACTCTCAATTGCTTATAAGAAAATATTAACAAAGAGATTTATGTAAACTTATTATTATTATTCATCAATGGAAAATTAAAATGTTCTTAGTGTTAGTGGAAAATTTCAAAAAGAACATAAATAAAATTCGTCTTGATTATTAAAACACTATTTACATCAAAAATTATTATTATTATTATTGTGAGTTACTGTCAAAACTGTGTCAATCCCAATCAAACCGGATGTAAAAACTTGAGGAGCATAATTTCGAAAAATTGTGTGAAATTGAAGTATTTGGAAAAACCTTGACTGAAATTTAGAAATCGAAATTGCGAGAACATTGTGAAAACTTCGAGAGCCACGACGTTACATTCGATACAAAATAATTTAAACAAATTCGTTAAGAATTTAAAGGAAAAAAAATAAATAAATAAAAACCCCAGACAGGAAATAGCAAAATGACCTTGGTTATTACACATAGCATCACCGATTCCCGAGCATTTACTCCTCATTCGGGATCAGGTATAGACCTGAGACAGAGTGAGAGAGAGAGAGTAATAAATTTGGAATAAAATTCTGAAAAATATCAAGGAATTAAAGTGATGATGATAATAATAATGATAATTTAATTTTTTTTTGAATATGAATTCGATGGGAAATTATTAAAAGGAAATATTTTTGCAAACAGGTAATTATATAATTTTTTTTTATTTTTATAAACAAAAAATTTAAAGTCTGGAAATTTCTTAAAATAATAATAATAATAATTACAAAACTTTTTCATCAAATAAAATTCAATGTTTAAAAAAAAAAAAAAAAAAAAAATGAAGTGCGGTTTTATTTAAAAGGAAAATTATTATTATTATTATTTATTTTTTTTGTAATTAGTCTTCCTGTTGTTGCTGTTATTATTATTATTTTTTTTTTTTTTGTAATTAGTCTTCCTGTTGTTGCTGTTATTATTATTATTATTTTTGTCTTTAATTATTTAAATTTGTCGTGACGTTTCAGTAGGAAAAAATAATAATAATAATAATAATAATAATAATAATACAAATAATATTTAATTTAAATAATATGTTTTGTTAGCTTTTTGGTTTCTTGTATTTTGTTTTGTTTTTGTTTTTGTTTTTTTTTTGAAAAATTAACGTTTTGTTTTCTAAAGGAAACATCGAACATCTGCGACAAAACCTTAATTTTTAATTAAAATTTCGTGCAAAAGAAAAAAAAAAAATTATTATTATTATTATTATGTTGACGGGAAAATAAAATATATATTATTTTAGTTGTTTTGAAATGGCGGCCATATTGTTGATGTGCGTTTGTTTTGTGATTGTTTACGACTATTTTGTTATAATGATATCGATTTAAAAATGTACAGAAGGTACAGAAATTACTTACTCGAAACGAAAAAGAAAATGTAGAATCGAATAAATAAATTTTAAAACGTGGGGAGTGTGGGAGTGGGGGTGGGTGTTTCCTTTTAAATTTCACTTACCGTTTCGTAATATTCTGCAAGCAGCTTCCGGTGAACCAGAAACACTAAATTTCGCAGTGACAGGATCTCTTCTTGACAGCAATCCCGGTCCGACTTCAACTCCCGGACACCAACTAAATATTTCTTTAAAACCTCTACGAAATCTAAAACAGCAACAACAACAACAAACACAAAAAAAATGTTAGAAAATGTTAAAAAATGTTTTTCTTTTTTTTTTTTTTTTTTTAAGGTTTACCTAGAATTCATCCAACAGTAAATAATGGGATTATACATGGCGTTCGACATTGCCAACCAATAAATAGCAAGATAAACTTCTTGTATGTAAGATGTTTGCGTGACTTCCGGAAAATGTGACGTTAATATAAAATAAGTGTGAAAGGGAAGCCAACATAACATGAAAATAACAACGACGACTATCATCATTTTAACAACCTGAAAAGGTAATTAATTAATTAATTAATTTAATTACAATAAATAATAAGGAAGACATTCTTTTAAACGATTATTTATACGATCGTAATCGCGTTGTGATTGAACGTGGCAGTAGAGAGAGAGAGAGAGAGAGAGAGAGACGATAATGTGACACTCAATATGAGATTTTATGACTAATAAATAAATTATTACAAAAAAAAAAAAAAAAACAATAAACGAACTGATTGAATGGACTCGACAAAAATTTAAAAAAAACGTTTTTTACTCTTCATTTCTTTATTAATTATTATTATTAAAGGTCACGAGTCCGGGGAATATCAATAATCCGAGAGGAAATTTAACGAATTTCCGGTTTTGTTCACGTTGTTGTTGTTGTTGTTGCTGTTGTTGTGACGATACATTTTTCGATCACGTTTTGTTTTTACGAAAAATTATTAATTTAATTTTTTTTAAAATTTAATTTAATCGCATCCGTGATCGTTTGATTCAAAATAAAAAGGCGGGAAAAATGAAAAATTTTTTTTTTTCTATTTGTTATTCTGTTTTTTTTTTTTTTTTTCCCAACACACGTTCGTCGTATTTTATTTGAATTATTTTGTGCTCGAAAAAAAAAGGAAAGAAAAATCGGGGCGCGTTAGGGAGTCGGCGGTTCAAATCGTCATTAAACCCCCCCCCTCTCCCCCGAAAATTTTTTTTTTTAATTTTTAATTTTTAAATTATTATTATTATTATTATTATTATTATTATTATTTTGTTATTATTTTCATGTTGGGTTTTTTTTTTTTTTTATTTAAGAGGAAGAGGATTTGCGTACGTTTGACATTTTTTTTTTTTTTTTTTTTGTTTGTTTGTTCGTTTGTTTTCCGTATCGAACGTTGTTCTAACCGCATTTTAAAAAAAAACGGGAAGGAAAAATATTAGATTAATACGATGGGAACAGATGTGGTAAAAAAAGAAAAAAAAAAGGAAAAAAAAGGAAAAAAGGAAATTTTACCTAAAAAATAAAAAATGATTTGTAATTTTTCATTTGTTTTTTTTTTTTTTTCTTCTAAAAAAAAAAAACAATTTTTGAATTCAATTGAAAATAAAATTTTCAATCGATTTATCGATTATTATAATTTATCGATTATATAAGAATCTTATCGATTTATCGATTATATAAGAAAAAGGGGGGAAATCGATGCTGCGGAAAAGGTGAAAAAAAACAGGAAAATGAAAGGAAATCAAAAAAAGAAAAAAAGAAAAAGGAAACAATCGTCGCGATTGTGTGATTTCCTTTTTTTTTTTTTTTTCCTCGACGTTTTCCTGCTCGTTTCTCTTATCATTTTTTTTTTCATTATCATTATTATCCACGTCGTAAATAATAATAATAATAATGTTTTGATAACGAACATTTTTTTTTCTTTTTTTTCAACGTCAGAAAGAAGAAGAGTAAAATTTCCAAGTCGTATTTTGTTCGAAGAAGACAAACTTTTATTTTCAAAAAAAAAAAAAACTAAAAGGAAAAATGGAAAATGGAAAAGGAAAATATGTAAAAGGAAGAAGAAGAAGAAAAAGAGATAAAATACGATGAGAAAAAGTCAAAGGACAGACGAAAAAGGAGTAAAAAACAAAAAACTTTATTTTAATTATAAAAGGTAAGTAAATGTCGTGAGAAAATTTTTACAAAAGTTTTCAAAAAAAAAAAAATTTTTTTTTCCCTTTTATTTTTTTGTGCAAGAGGTCGGGGCGTGGTAGGGGGGTTTAGGGGCGGAATGGCGTGGGTGTGATGATGGCGGTGAAAGGATTTAAAATAAACGAATATAAAATTGAATTAATATTTAAAAAAAAAAAAAAAAAAGTATTAAGAATTCCGATAAATAATTCTCTTTGTGATGGTTGGGGGGTTTTTCTTAAGGTTTTAAGCCCCCCGCTTAAGGGTTTTTCTTTATAAAAAAAAAAAAAAAAACGTTTAAAAATTAATTTTCTATAAAAAAAATTTTTTTAATTTATTTTATTTTATTATTATTATTATTTTATTTTTTATTTAATGTACTTTTACTGTGTTTCGTTTTAAATCCCTTTTAGCAATAATAATAATAATAATAATAATAATAATAATAATAATAATAATAATGATAATGATAACAATGCCATTTGAAAAAATTTAATCAAAATAATTGAGAAACATTATTATTATTATTATTATTAAGTTTTTGAAAAGATTTTCCACGGTCTTTTTTTTTTTGCCTTCTTACATCACACCCGCGTCGCTCGGATTATTATTATTATTATTTTTTTAATAACTTACTGGAATCCATGTTTCAGTCAGGTTCAAAAAATAATAATAAACCTAATCCCCCCTCTTTTTTTTTTTACCCGGGAGAAATGCAATATTTCGCTCTAACTTCCCCACCCGGTAGCAGGGAGAGTGTGGGAGGAAGTTGAAGCACATACCGACTAAAATTCCTAGGGGTGTTTCACCGTGTTCTTTTTGCAGGGGGGAGGGGCGTTCGCGAGAGTAAGCCTGCATTTCAGCCTCAGCCTCCTCCTGAGTTAGGTTCACACTTGCGATGATGGGTATCCCACCTGAGGAAGATTCCGGTACTTCCCCTTTATACCCTACGAGAGGCAGCTCCGACCTGACACCATCTTACCTGCCTCTTCAGCAGAGTTTGTGAATTTTCGAAGGGAGAGAGAGATGGCCTCCTTTCAGGTCGCAGCTCCGCATTTACCCCTTTTTTGATCAAGCACCCAGTTTCACCTCCTTGAACAAATAGGGTCGGTGCATTTCCAACACCTGGAAAGGGTGCTAGGTTACTTATCCCCCCTATGTAGGTACAAGTTTGTTCTTGTTAAGACGAATTGAAATTGAACTCTTAACTCGGGACCGATTTTTCCCCTATTTGAACTCTACCTGGCTACCTCGGGCTCCCCCAAAGGCATATGTAACTTAAAGGTTTACCCCTAGCGGGTGCCTAGTCAACGTGGGAGATTCAATCCCAGCGCCCCCTCACCTAAAACATCCTCTTTATCCAGGCCTCCGAGTAGTTGGATTACAGGAGTACAAAAAGAAAAGAAAAAAAAAAATCTTACCCTTCTTTTACTTTTAATATTTTCTAATTGTCTTTGAGTGCATTCTCCGATGCTTTGACTACCCCAAAGTTCCAAACCGACTTTGGTATACGTAAAAGTCATGGAACCGATGGGTAAAACGTATGTGAGTAACATGAATATTACGTTGTACCTGAAACGATGAAAAAAAAAAAAAAATTAATTAATTAATTAATAATGGCGGATTCTGTCGTTTTTTTTTTTAAATCTATGGCGGGAAAATTATTATAATTATTTCTTTATCGCGTTTTTTTCCGGGACGGGGGGGGGGGAAATCGTCATAATAATAATAATGATGATGATAATAATAATAATAATAATAAACTTTTTTTCGGTCTTTTTTTTTTTTATTACGGCGATTTATATTGTAATAAAATTTTTATTCAAGTATAAGGAAACGTCAAAATCTCTTTCTCTCTCTCTCTCTCTCTCTCTCTCTCGTGCGACGATTTTATTATCTATCTCTTTTACTTTTTGATTTTTATTTCACGATTGTTTTTTTCCTCTTTCTCATTCCCTCTCTCTTTTTCTTTTCTTTTCTTTATGCGACCATGATGAAAATTTTAAATTTCTTACATTTAAAAAATTTTTTCATTTATTATTATTATT